ACACCCCATTTACTCTGATGTGATTGTTGTGCATTATATGCCTGTATTAAATGTATGTATCCCATAAACATATACATCTATTGTGTACCTGCAAAAATTAAAAATATAAAGTTTTCAAAAATCATCTTTTCTTTCAAAACCAAGTTTTATATATCCTCTAACTTTATCCTTTTCCATCACAGTTGAACAAAGTTGTTTTGTATACATTAGTTTTGGACTCATAATCATTTTTGCTTTTGACCCAGTTGTGTTAAATTATAAATCAGTGGTGCTGCTTTTTAAAAACTAGCATCAGCATTTCTATTTTCCCCGTTTCTACTCATCTTTAAAAGAAAATAAGGGTAAATTTAGTAGAAAATCATGTGATTTACAAGTATAGTTGAACAAAGATGGTGATTATGTGGAAAACATATTTACTAGAAGATATAACACTATGTTAGAAATAATTATTCTTCAGATTTTAAAAGTTCAAATTCCAAATGTAAAATACAGACTAAGAATATTAAAGTAGGCCTGGCATAGTAGCTCACACCTGTAATCCAGCACTTTGGGAGGCTGAGGTCAGTGGATCATTTGAGTTCAGGAGTTTGAGACCAGCTTGGCCAACATGGTGAAACCACATTTCCACTAAAAATATAAAAATAGCTGGGAGTGGTGGGGCATGCCTGCAGTTCCAGCTACTCAGGAGGCTGAGGCAGGAGAATCACTTGAACCCAGGAGGTGGAGGTTTCAGTGAGCTGAGATCGTGCCACTGCACTCCAGCCTGCACGACAGAGCAAGACTCTGTCTCCAATGAAAAGAAATAAAAAAAAAGAATTTGAAAGTATAATATTTGAAAATACCAGTAAAATCAAAGGCAGATTATTTGCAAATGCTTGAAATAAGTACTTGGTTATGCATTGTACATATGATTATACACTATTGTATATATCATTATGTATTACATGTATTTGTTATATATATTGTTATAATTATACACATGTACCTGTGAGCATAGTAGTTTACCTTGTTACTCATTTAGGCAAGTGGAGAATAAGGTATTAGGTCATTGTTGGGTTCAGTGACATTTTGGAATTCTGAACCAGGAATGATGTGTTGAAAGTAAAGACTTAAAGGTTCTTCCTTGCTTCCAGAGTGAATTGTTTACTGTTTCACTTATTTAGCCTTTCAGTGTTTTTACTTTAACCCTTTGAGATGAGAGAAATACCACTTAATAAAAAGCAAATGCTAGTAATACTAACAATTTTGACAATTGGGCATAAATACTTTGGTCATTAATTACGTTTTTGTTACCTTTGAAATACTGCAGCATTATTTACTTTCAGTTAGCACTTACTGCAGCTAGCAGTTAAGATACTTAAAAGCTTTTATATTCTTTCCTTCTCAACTGTGAGCACCTTGAGGGTACTCTTGTCTTGTTTTTAATTGTGTTCTGTGTTAACAATGCCTGGCACTGTCGATTTTCAGGGAATGTCAATTGAGGGAAAGAAGTAATGGAAATTCACTCTTGTAATCCAGTTGTCTTTATACGATTTGTGAAATCACCTAGTAGTATGCATGGAATAATCACTGTGGTGTATTTGTGGTGAACGGCAAGAAAGTAAATGAATGGAACATGTGAAAATCTAGGCATCCTACTTTAGTCCATTGTATTAACTAGCTTCCTATATGTTTCTCTTGGCTAAAGCTTCAGCTTAAAATCATTGTACTCAGGGTATAGTGTTCTCAACAGTTAGTCCATGCTGCCTTTTCTTCTCCATCTGCTGCCAGACCAATGACCGGCATGTGGTGTATGTGTGGTGGGTTCATGAAGTAAATGTGTATATGATCTGATGTTGACTGGGCACCAAGTATTCAACATTGCCCTAGAGATTCCAGCTTTGGCATGCTGCACATGTACTGTCTCTACTCAGTCCTAAGTGATCAAAACTTGTACCTCTCTCAGATGAAGTAGCTTTCTGTGAAACCTGTGGCAATAAATGTTAGTAGCAGGAACCCATAGAAGGAGAAGCAGATAGGCTATAGCAGGTCACATCAGTTTTCTTGAAGCTGTGATAAACAGCTGTGAATCTTGACACATCCTGACCTTTGCTTTGGAGAGGCTGGCAAAGGACCCTATGGGTAGCTGTTATCTGTCTCAGAACTTGGCAATACCAATTTCTTTTAGCCAGGTGGCTTAGATTTTGACTGGGAGCCTTACAGCAATGAGAATTCTCAATTATATAGTTTATTGATTGCTCATAGTCTTTTCTGGAACAAGGGAAAGAATGAGACAGTGATAGAAATTGAATAATATCATATTGAATAATAAAATATTTATTGGACTCCCTTGTATTCTGTTAGTCTATAATTATGTGTTGTAATTAAGATTCTTTCCCCGTTAACTAATAATGAAAATAGCTAACTTTATTGAGTACTTAACTCTCTGCCAAGTACTGTACTGGATTCTCTTTATTCTATTACAGTAACTCACAATCTAGGTTTTATCATCAGCTTGAAATCCATAGTGACATATCTTTCACAAAAGGATAAACAACTCATTTTTATTCAACAGCCATTTGTGTTTTTTGTTTGTTTTTTATTATACTTTAAGTTTTGGGATACATGTGCAGAACGTGCAGGTTTGTTACATAGGTATACATGTGTCATGGTGGTTTCCTGCACCCATCAACCTGTCATCTACATTAAGTATTTCTCCTAATGCTGTCCCTCCCCTAGCCCCAAACCCCCTGACAGACCCCAGTGTGTGATGTTCCCCTCCCTGTTTCCATGTGTTCTCATTGTTCAACTCCCACTTATGAGTGAGAACATGCAGTATTTGGTATTCATTCCTGTGTCAGTTTGCTGAGAATGATAGTTTCCAGCTTCATCCATGTCCCTGTAAAGGCCCTGAACTCATCCCTTTTTATGGCTGCATAGTATTCCATGGTGTATATGTACCACATTTTCTTTATCCAGTCTACCATTTGGGTTGGTCCGAAGTCTTTGCTGTTGTGAACAGTGCCACAGTAAACATACGTGTGCATGTGTCTTTATAGTAGAATGACTTATAATCCTTTGGGTATGTACCCAGTAATGGGATTGCTGAGTAAAATGGTATTTCTGGTTCTAGATCCTTGAGGAATCGCCACACTGTCTTCCACAATGATTGAACTAATTTATACTCCCACCAACAGTGTAAAAGCGTTTCTGTTTCTCCACATCCTCTCCAGCATCTTCAACATCCATTTGTACATGCAGTGAATATTGCATGGATAAATGTTGGGAAAGCCCCACTCTGTGAGTTTGAGCAGCGGGTTTTCAGAGCGATACTCATTATGCTATCTTTACAGGGATACAACTCTAAGCTTCTGATAGGTAAAATCTTACAAAGTTGGATTAGGGACTCTAGACGGGCATAAGGGAAGACCAAAGATGACCTTTGAGCCTTCTCTCCTATACCTCTTTTTAAAATCTTTTCCTGAAGAAAAGAAACCAAGATTGTGGGAGGCATGGTCCAGTCTTAACTTTTCTTATCCAATTTGTAAGTGTTCTAAGAAAACAAAACATGCACATTCTCCTTGAGCTCCTGTGTGAATATGAGACCAAAGTTTGCATTTAACACTGAACTTTACCTACCTCCCTAGTGGGAGGTAAATCCTATGTTTCAGTGGTTTTACTTGGCAGACAGGAAAATCAGTTGCCTTCTTAAGTAATGAATGATAAAGGTTTGCTTTAAATATGTAAGAAGCTATCAAAATTCGATGACACTAACTTAAGATTTTTGTTTCTTATAACGTGAAATCAGTAACGAAGACATTTTTTGTGTCTCTTAATAAGTTTACAGTTATTTGGCATATTTGTATATAAAAACATAAATATGTATATTTTTAGCTTAGTTTTAACATAGCATTTCTATACTTATGTAAACTATAGTTATTTTTAGTTGGAATAAGCTGCTGCCTCTTGGAATATAGAAACCACCTAAAATGTGAAATGAAAAAGGTAATGAAAATGTTTGTAAACACATTAAAGATTAAAACAGTAGCTGAGTCCAGTGAAAGGAAGTGATCCTATGAATTAGTAATGAAAGTGCATTTACAGCTTATTATCTTACCGGAGTCTCAGTTTTAACAGCTGCTGATACTTTAATAGAAGCCTGCATAGTCCGTAATAATTTGAGTATTCATTCTGTTTATGGATTGTTTTTTAATAGAAACACTGAATGATGTGGCCTATCTTAAATTACCTCAAAGAGTCATTATAAAGATAAATAAAAATATTTTATAAACATGAAAGGTGCTTTCTCATTCTCTACGTATAGTCATGTGTAATATAAAAATTTTAAATTATGTATGTTTTATTGAGTGGTAGTTTTAAGAGTTTTAAACTTCATTTAGATCCCAGGAATATAATTTGTGACAATTTCTAAGTATATTGGACCGATATTGGTTTTTAAGCGAAGCACACATAGGTAATTGCTTTTAAATATTATGTTTGAAACAATACATTAAAAGTTAAGTAGCCATGTTGTGTTACACATTATTAAAATTATCTTGATAGTAATCACACACTGATTTGTTCCTTTTTATATAAGGGGGGAAACAGAAAATAAATGGAATTTATCTCATTTATTTTTGCACTGTACCAGATACTTACATAAGATATAAAGAAATCTTCGAGTCTCTGTTCAGAGGAGCTTATGGCATTAAAGGTGGGATGCAAAGTATTTTTAAAATAGTTCAAAACCAATAAAAGCAATATGTGAATATTATATACCAAAGAATATGATAAAATTGATGTCTTAGAAGGGAAAAGATGAAAATTTTAAATAGAAGTTGCCTGATAAAAGTATGCTTATGATATTATAAGTTAGTTCATTTTATCATGAACTGTTCACTATGTTTTTATATCAAGTACATCTCAATCTTACTTCTGCCGATCTGTTGTTTTAGTAAAGAATCACCATCAGCCTTGTTGGAGCACTGGCAAAACGTGCATCATATATCCTTTATTTCTAGGCATACTTCCGACAGGGTGTTGCCCTCCAGTACCTTGGACGTCATGCCGATGCCCTGGCAGCCTTTGCATCTGGACTGGCTCAAGACCCCAAGAGTCTCCAGCTTCTGGTGGGGATGGTGGAAGCCGCCATGAAATCTCCCATGAGAGGTAAATATGATAAAAGTACTTGGTATAACATTAATTTGAAGTAGAAAACTTCCAGCCTTCCAAGCATTTAAGCTCAGGCACAGAGAATTGATAGGCTATCAAATTTGCTAAGATTTGATATTTTAGACAAAGAAAGATCAAGAATCACTGCCAACAACTGACATTAATGAGGCAGAATAGTATGGTAGAAGGGTCACTCACCTAAAATTTTGTGGACCTATATTATATTCTTAAATTTTTTATTAACTAACTGTATGACCATGGATAAATGGATTAACTTCTCTGGATTTTAGGATTATTTAAAAGCTCTTATAGTTTTTCTGTAGGTCTGAAATTCTGTAATTCTAAACCACCACACTTCTAGTAGGAAACTCATTCTTCAGCTGGACCAATATGCCTTCTAGAAATACTGAAATAAGAGAAGACATTTAACATTCTTATATTTCATAAAGGAAATATATATCTGATTGTAGGCTGTGTCTCAGATTTTTCAGAGGAGCATTAAAAGATTGTGTTGAATTAAAAGAAGAAAGAAACAAGACAGACACCAGTTTACATTATTTTCTCCCCGTTCCTACTTCTACTTTACACCGATTGTTATTCTGGAAAACAAAAGAATGGATTGAAAATGCTACTGTGGAGGTTGGAGGAGTTCTGAGGCCCAAAACAGATTGGTGTCATTTTGAGGAACATTGATTTTTTTGGGAATGAGTTCTTGGGAAGATGTGACTAAACATATATAGCAGTTGCTGTCTTTGGGGAGTGATGGAGACCATGAGGCAGATTTATGGTAAACAGTAGACAGCTAATAATGATTCATTTTAAACAGGGTATGCCAAGCAGAACTCTGTTTTTTAGTCTGAAATGGTATGTTTTTAAATTTTTCATGTGGAAAAATGAACCTCTGGCAGCATCATTTAATATTTTATCTAGTTTTGAAAATGTTTGCATCATTAGATATTTTAAATATACTGGCTAGTATTATATTTGGCTCAAAATATGTGCCAAATAAAAGTTTGATGAACCAAATGGTACTCATTTGATCTCTGGGTAATTCATTTATATAAAAAATATTTTCCTGAAATTTAGGGATTTCATGTTTTAGGAAAAAAGTGTTAAGAAAACCTCTCTTCATGTGATTTTATAGACTGTACAAAGCTGAGGTTTTGCTACAGGCTGAACCCCCTCGGGGACCTGCTGTTAATAAACTCTGACTTAGAGCAGATGCATTTTGGAGTGCCTGGGCTCAGGGAGCACGGGCAGAATGGACAACAAGAAAAAAAAATCATCTTATTTCTCCATTTTCTAGTTTTTTCTTGTTGCCTCCTTATACCCCTCCACAAGGAATTTACATGAAACATTTTTATTTAATTAATGAAGATATTACCTCTTTATTCTGAGGTGCTTCTGCTGCTGCCTTAGAATATTGGAGTGAATGTGTTGAGATCAGCAAAATCATACTTGCCATTTTGCCTTTGAAGCAATCTATTTAGATAAATGTAAGGAAATCTTCCCTGCACTGCTAGAAATAGCTCAGAGCTGCTGTCACTCTTAGGGTTTCTGTACCAGGCTCTTTCCCATCTTATGTAAGTGACCTAAGGCTGAACCTGGAAAAGCAGCTTCTTACTGGTGCCTGGAGTGCTTCAATATCTTCTTCTCTTCCCTTAAGGCAATTTAATTTATCTCATCTATTTTTAGCATTGCCTTTACCACTGTATCTATTCCAGGTGGGCTTTTCTTATCAACAATTTATGAAGTCTGTGGCTTTGCACAGTGTTGTTCTGTGCATCATCCCACATCTTAATAACCTCTCTTTTTGTTATATGGTTGTAATTGACAAAATTTCTCATCATTTGCTGCCTACCTTTTTAGCCATTGTTTATTTTAGTCTCCTGCAACTTCCTAAGTTTTGCCATTGTTGCATAGCTGTGCAGTTTGAGTCACTTTACATATACATCTGATCTGTTAATGTCAGTTGTTTTTGTTTCGTAATTTTTATTTTTATTTTTATTTTAAAGGCTAGTCAAGTGAAGCAGTGCGAGTGGAGAAGGATAAGTCTGTAACTGGTTTTGATCAGTTAGTTGTAACTGCTATTGCACTCAGACCAGCTTGTTTTGTAATCCTTAAATGCAAGAGAAAACTCTCTGGTCCAGGTGCTTCTATAAGCAGACAAAACTCTCATGACCTGCACAGTGTTCCTGTGGTTTGGTCTTTGTGGAAGTTTTAAGATTTTTTTTTTTTTTTTAAGGCAGGACCAATCTATATTAATATACCCTTTCCCCCATATAAATACATTATATTTTTCCACGTTGAAACTCATTTGATTTTTTATTATTGTTGCCAACATTTCTAAATGAATTAAATCTGTTTTAGTTTCACTCATGCACGCAAATCAGATATCAGCTAAACCTTTTCTCCTGTGGATATTACTTATTTTATATGATGTATTTCTCTTAAATCATTAATGAAAATATAAATATAAATTGATATTTTCTTTTACATGACTTCTCAAGTAATCATTTTACCATATTCTATTTCTTTTTTTGATAACGTTTCAGCAATTTCAGTTTATTGTATGTTAAAAACATTTAAGCAAATTTGGATGTTGTAGCATACTATTAATGCCAAAAGTGGATTTAATAATGTAATTACTAAATGAGATTGAGTTTACCTTTATTTGTTCCTCTAAAGATGCTAGGGGTGCTTCTTGCTGGGGACCTTTTGTGTATATTGTCTTTCTTCCTGTTAATTCTGCAATCTAAAGACTGTTACATTTGTGGGCTATCACCTGTTGTGGTGTTTCTGCCAGCTCCTGGGGACCCAGGGAAGCTGATTTTTTGAAGTGCTGATGGAAAATGCCTGTTAAATGTATAAGCTTTTCTTGCAGGGTCAAGTTGGGGCTCACCTTTTATTTGCCTAATTGTCTACCCTAGTGGGCTCATTCCCTCTGATTCTCTTTTAGGTGGGAGTCTCTTTTCACAGGAGGCTTCCTTCTGAAGTGTTATATTAAAAACACAGGCTTTTCCCCCCAAAAAGATTGGAATCTAATTCCAGCACTGCCATTTGCTAGTCCATTGGCTGAGAAAGGTTGCTTCCCTTCTCTATACTTCAGTGTGTTTCCGTAGAGGGAAATTATAATATCCATCTCCTAATGTTGTTTTGAAAGTCAGGAACTGGCATCTAATGGCAGGCCTCTGCAGTGTGATGCCATTCTTACTGAGGAGTGAAAGCAGCAGCAGTACTAATTGCTCTTATGTTTAGGGCAAGTGTAGTGGTGTGGATGTGGAATGAACACTGCATAGTACATAAGTTCCTCTTTATGAGCACTCACTGGAGAAGTTTCTCTCAGGCCTTAGTATAGAAGACCTTGCCTCTCTTTCCTTCTTATATCCAGATATTCTCAACTTAAACTTCCTGCAGTTCCTAGAACACACTATGGTTTCTCATATCTCCAATTTCTATTCAGGTGCCACTTCCTATGGGAAGCCTTCCCAGACCTACCCTAATAGAGTTAATAACACCTTTCTCTTTTGGGGTCCCATGGCACATTTTACCACTTCTAAGAATTCTGGATTTAAAGTTGTATTATTATTATTATTATTATCATTATTATTATTGAGACAGGCCCTCACTCTGCCATCTAGACCAGAGTGCAGTGGCATGGTCATGGCTCACTGTAGCCTCAACCTTCCCAGGCTAAGGTGATCCTCCCACCTTAGCCTCCTCAGTAGCTAGCTGGGACTACACATCTGTGCCACTACACCCAGCTAATTTTTGTATTTTTTTATAGAGGTGGGGTTTCACCATGTTGCCCAGGCTGGCCTTGAACTCTTGGGCCATTGGCCTTGACTTCCAAAGTGCTGGGATTACAGGTATGAGCACCATGCCTGGCCTCATTATTTTATATATTACTAAGAAAGAAAAAAACTACTGACTATTATGATGACACAATTCTCTCTGAGCATGTGACTTTTTATTTTATGTATATACTGAAAGAGCTTTTTTTAGGCCTATTTCTATATAAAAGTGACACGCCATTGCATAGCACTGAATATCTCTTAGTTGAGTATGAGTTTGTTTATTATTAGCTTCTGCTACATTCCTACAAGCTCATCAAGTGTTAGGAAATATTATTTTGTTCATCTTAAATTTTTAAAGGCTTTGCATTTTAAAAACCCTTGATAGTTGTTGAACTGATGTTGCAAAGGGCTTTATGCTCTTGTGGAATTGGTTTGACATTGCCTATTTCATGTATTATCCATAAACTCTAGAAAGAAAAACGTCTTAATAGCTATAGACTGCCAAAACTCTGTTTCACCTAGCCTGATACAATCTCAAAATTAGTCCCTTTGCCAATAGCCCAAGTTTACTCTAAAATGGGAATTAGAATAATAGAGCTGGAAATAATTGTAGCGATCACCTATATGTTTAGAAAACTTACCTTACCACTTGTATTCATCAAAAGCATATACAGCTGCCATCTCGAGCTTTTGATTGTGGGTGTGGACCAATGAGACATAATTAGAGCCCAAGCTGAGAAATTTGATATTAAAAAATTTAAAAATTTGGTTGGGCACGGTGGCTCATGCCTATAATCCTAACACTTTGGGAGGCTGAGGTGGGCAGATCACAATGTCAGGAGTTCAAGAACAGCCTGGCTAATATGGTGAAACCCCGTCTCTACTAAAAATGCAAAAATTAACCGGGCGAGGTGGCGTGTATCTGTAGTCCCAGCTACTTGGGAGGCTGAGGCAGGAGAATCACTTGAACCTGGGAGGCGGAGGTTGCAGTGAGCTGAAATTGTGCTACTGCACTCCAGCCTGGGTGGCAGAGTGAGACTCCCGTCTCAAAAAAAAAAAAATTTTTTTTTTAAATTTGTATACAGTGAAATGGACTTTTGTGTGTATATATCTGTACATGTAGACATTCATATATACATGAATAGATTTGTGTAACAATCACCACAGTTACAACCTATGCATTGACGAAGTGAGAGACTGAGGCTATGTGACTTTGAAATACAGGTGTCTGTATGTATTTTGCTCAGTGTTTTCCTCATTATTTCACGTCAATTTCCTTCCCTACAAATATTCGTTGATCAGTTCAAGCTGGCCTGCTCAGCAGGCCTTGTCATTTCATGTATCTGTCTTCTCTTGACACTTTTGTTAGGACAGATCTGCATAAAATGCCTTCTACTCTCAGAAAATAACAAAGACTTGGCTAAGCCCTACTCTTTCTTCAGGAGATCAAGTTCTGCTTCCATGAAGCTTTCCAGTTGCTCTTGATAATCATTCCCTTTTCCAAACTCTTATAGCATGTTTTGTATATTAGCCTTATACTGATCTTTGCATTATAATTTATCTTTTGAAGTGTATTTCCTATATACTGAAAAAGGAAATTTCATCTTCTTCTCTTTCATCATTTCATTTTCATCTAGTGAAAATTTGTACAATTAAAGATTTCTTTCTCTTTAGGGAATCCTCTAGATATTTCTTACTGTGGCAATGTTCACTCCTCTTTCTACCACTGTTGTTGTATAATTTCAGAGGCTCAATTAGATGATTATTTCTCTAACTTAACTGGGGGTGCTATGGGAAGAACCGTCACTAAGTAAAGCATAATATCTTTGCTAGCCACCATTCAATTTGGGCTGACAGTTTCTGAACACTCTTCCCTCTGTTTAGAATTCTCCATCATACACTTCCGCTTCTGCTGTCTATAATAAAAGCTGAAAACATCATATCCCAATTTTCCCATTCTCCCTAGCAGCTGGGACTCCATCCTTGAATCAGAGGCTAAAGGTTCAAAGAAGAAAGGATAACACAGAATTTGTTCTGGTGGTAGAGGTGGCAATGGTGACACCCATTTTCTAAGGGTGGCATTCAGTGAGGTGGTGTGGGGAGGAGCATTGTAAGCTGTGGTGTCCTGTGTTTGGTTGCAGTGGTTAAGTTGCCTTCAACAGGCAGCTTTTGTGGTATGATTTTGACTGTGGGTTTGGAGGCCTGGTTTTCCACCTTTCCCAGTTGTCACTCAGTGTGTTTCTTTTCTGCTTACAAGCAGCCAAGATTGGTTTCTGTCACTAGCAACTAATAATCTTGCTTCGTGCAATATCATAGAACATGGGCTTAGAGCCCTACAGTGTGTTCTAATCTTGGCCCTGTCCCAAGCTTTCTGACTTTGGGTAAATCACCTAAATATTCAGATTCTTCATTTTTAAGAGAGCATATTTTTAAAATCTTTTCAACTCTAAAGTTCTATTATTTTTGTTTCTACTAATTGGCCACTGGGATGCTGATGTGATCAACATCAACTGCCAAACTCATCAGCGGACACCACCAAAATTCTGCTCACGGTATTTCATTATGGTATTGTTCTTTTGTATTCTAGCAATTCCTGGGTTCCTGTGCCTGTACTTAACCCCATTGGTTAGCTAGTGTTTACCAGTACTCCGCACAGCTTGAATCTTGACAGGTGTAAAAATGTTCTTTGTTCTCTGTTAGTGATCTGATTGAAGGAAAAAAATGCTTTAGGCACCAGCAGGTTTCCAGGTTTCAAGGTTTCTGTGGCAATGTTGATTCAGATGAGAGCTTTTTAGTGGAGAGTTTAGATTCAAAGTCATAAATTGTAAGAATTACATTTTAATGCAGTACTGTTGGCTAGGAGATTCAAGATTTAAAGAGACCAACCCTTTTATAGTGTTTTTTTTTTTTTTTTAAAAAAACATGTGCATAGTGGAAAAACTAATGTGAAATAGTTTTTCAGGAAAACTAATAATAAATGCTTTATAAGTGCAATCTCATTGTAGGGCTATAGTTAATACCTCTGCAGTTGTCTTTAAAGGAAAAAAGGAGAATTGGGAGAAGGAGCTTGGAGGTTATTTACATTCAAACTTAGCTTCAAATGGGAAAAAAATCTCCTATGGCTTACTTACCCCTATCTATGTCCTTTTAATACCATATGAAAATAAAATGAAACCAACATTAATTTTATCTTCCATCTTACCTCAATAAATTCAGATGATTTCTTTGTGGTTTCATTTATGACCACAACAAAAATCGATAATATTTTTTTTTAGTTGGGGGCTACAGGTCTCAGAAGCAGCAGTGGATACTGGGTTACCAGTGAGAATGACAAGGGTTTTGTTGGGAGAGCTTCTTTTATTGCATCTTCTAGGAAAAAATGTGAACTGGGTTTATTAATCTGTAATTCAGATTCAAGTTTACCAGGCTGGACATGGTAATTCACACCTGTAATCTTAGCACTTTGGGAGGCCTAGGCGGGAAGATCGCTTGAGCCGAGGAATTTGACACCAGCCTGAGCAATGTAATGAGACCTCATCTCTCCAAAAAAAGTTTGAAAATTAGCCATGCACGATGGTGTGTGCTTGTGGTCTCAGCTACTTTGGGAGGTGGAGGTGGAAGGATTTACTTGAGTCTAGAAGGTTGAGCCTGCAGTGAGCCAAGATTATGCCACTGTACTCCAGCCTGGGTGACAGAGCAAGACCTGTTACAAACAAACCTGTATCAAATGCCAGACATGTTAGAGACTTTCCCTTGTGTCCATGACGAGTTTTCTGAGTACCCACATTGTGCCACTTGCTGTGGAGTAACAAAAGACAGTCCTATAGCAGTCTTTAGATTTAGCTGGAAAAATATTTTAAAAATTAATACATGGAGAACAATTTTAAAATAGTTAATGACCAAACTGTGCAGTACTATTAAAATGAAGCAGAAGTTTGGATACGCAGATTAATGTATGCCAGAGGACCTGGGAATATTCCTGGTACAAGTGGGACTTGAGGGATGTGCCTGTAATATTTTGAGGGGGGAACTATTCAGGGAAGGTGGTGCATCATGATCACAAAGACCAAAAGAAAGGATAAGACATGTAATGCAAGAGTGAGGAGAAGGAAAATACAGACTGGGGTTTGTGATACTAGTCAGATGAGTTAAGTGGACAGTTAGGATGGTGCTAGAATAAAGGTTGAGGAGTTTATACGTGAAATAAGCCACAAAAGGTATGATAAACATTTGTTTCTAGAGCACATTAGAAAAGATTGCTTTTGTATCATCCTACATTCTCCTGTTAATGTTGCTGTTGTTGTTGATTTTCAGACTCCCTCGAGCCCACTTATCAGCAGCTTCAGAAAATGAAACTGGACAAGAGTCCCTTTGTGGTCGTGTCTGTGGTTGGTCAGGAACTCCTGACAGCTGGCCATCATGGGGCCTCTGTGGTTGTCTTAGAAGCCGCACTGAAGATTGGCACCTGCAGCCTCAAACTGAGAGGTTCTGTTTTCTCTGCCCTGAGCAGTGCTTACTGGTCTCTTGGAAATACAGAGAAGAGCACTGGATATATGCAGCAGGACTTGGATGTAGCCAAGACCTTAGGTAGAGTGATGCTTCTTTTTTCTATTTCAGTGCAAAAAGGGAAGAAAGAAAGCTGAGTAACCTGACATGAATGAAAACAACATATGTAATAAAAAGTGATGGCCAGGCATGGTTGCTCACACCTGTAATCCCGGTGCTTTGGTAGGATTGCCTAAGGCCAGGAATTTGAGACCAGCCTGGGCAACATAGTGAGACCCTCTTTATTTAAAAAAAAAAAAAAAAAGCTGGGTGTGGTTGCATGTACCTGTGTCTTAGCTACTCTGGAAGCTGAGGTGGGAAGACTGCATGAGCCCAAGCATGCAAGGTTACACTTAGCTCTGATCACACTACTGCACTCCAGTCTGGGCAACAAAGCAAGACACCCTGTCTCTTAAAAATAAAAAATTTAAAAAAAAAGTAAGTGCCTCTAGAACATTCTCTATTTTAGAGTATTAAAGTCTTTACAGCTTTCTCATATAACAAGGTGCCAACACTCCTAAAAGGCTAAGAGATGTGGATTAATATACTCATTGCCCTCTTCAGAGATTTGAGCTTACAAAACATGTCAAATTATAGCATTGGTGGGTGAGTTTTTCATCTTAATTTTAATTCTTTCCTCCATTGGGATGCATCATTGTTTTGTTGAAGGAGAGAGTGTAATATAGTGTGTGTATTATGGAGTCTGACTACTGGGTTTAGAAGCCTTGCTCTGTCGCCTACTAGCTTTGTGACTTGGGGCAAGTTTCTTAATCTCTCTGTGACCCAGTTTTCTCATTTGTAAAATAAGTATGGCTTATGATTATGGTGGTCATTATGGTGATTATTCAAGGACTTATAGGATTACAGTAAGGGAAAGGATATGGTGAATCTACCGCCAGCATACTTGTAAAGATACTTCCTTATAGGTTTGGAGTCAAATGACTGAACCAACAAGCTGATGGTGGTTTAGAATCAAAGGTCGTTAGCAGAGCAATGAGGAGACTAAAATAGCAGCTAGTTTGTGTTAAGGTCTTTTGTTTCAAGATATCTAAGTCCCTGTCTGCAGTTGTATATTATGACAATAATAGCAGTCGTTACCCAGAGATTTAAATTCTAGGACAATAACTCCCTACATAGTGTCTTGTGGAAGAAACAAATACTTTTCTAAAAGAAGATAAGTGAAATCTTAGCTAATAAATCTGTGGCTCTTAAATTAAGATGACCATTATATATTATAAATAACATTGTAACTTAGAAAATTTTTATCTTTTTTTTTTTCCCTCATTTCAATCCAGGTGACCAGACAGGAGAATGCCGAGCTCATGGGAATCTGGGCTCTGCATTCTTCTCCAAAGGAAATTACCGGGAGGCTCTCACTAACCACAGGCATCAGTTGGTACTCGCCATGAAACTCAAAGATCGAGAGGTAGGAAGTTCATCTGCAGACCAAAAACGTTTATTCTCTCTCTTTTTTTTTTTTTTTGGAAACAGGGAGCTCTATTTTCTTTTTCTTTCTTTCTTTTTTTTTTTTTTAACTACTCTTTCAGGTATCTTAAAATATTACTTTGAGAAAAAGTATTACTTGAGAATTATTGATTCTGTCTTTCATCAACAATTGAGTGTTGGGTATCAATCAAGCATAGTCCTTGGATATATAGAAATAGATCAGACCTTGTTCTCGACCTCAGGATCTAACAGCTTTGTCAGATGCATCATTCTTATCTTCAAATGTGCATAAATTTATGTAAAAGTAGAAAAAAGCTATATTATTATAGCATACTCATTAATTGTAAAAAGCAAACATTGTGGGGTTTTTTTAAGATCAAATATTATTACTGCAACCTGTTTACATTGATGTTTTGGTGGATTTTTAACTCAGAAGCATACTAAGTTTGATATCTGAATCATAGTGGTAAAGAAGTATCATCCTAGTCTTTATTAAAGAGATGAACTATAGTATGCTCAAAGAGTTAATATTCAGTAGATGTAACATGATTAGAGAATGTCTGCAAAGTGGAAAGAAGGTGAGGTTTGGCATCAGATATACCAAGATTTAAATCCCAGCTGTAGTCCTTCATGGTTGTGGAATCTTGGGAGTAGTTATAACTTAACTTTTCTTTTTCTCCCCTGTTTTCTTATTCAGGAAATGATGATTATTCTATTTATTCCAAACACAGTTGTGGTAGGATTATAAATAATATATGTAAAGTGCCCAGCATGGTGCCAGGATTTCCATAATGGCATTTCCACAAAGGAATTCCATAAATGATAGCTTTTATTATAATATTATTAATAGGGAAGAGAAGGTTAATAGCAGAGGCAACAATAAGTTTATAAATCATTCTATGTGTTGAGAAATATGTTTAGTTATGTTTACATCTAAGAATTCTATGGCACATTATAAAGATTAATTATATTGTTTAAATGATCCAGCAACTTCATGTTTCAGGAACATGGCCAGGCACTAGGAGGGAATTGAAGAAGCAAAGAAAAGCCTTTGAAAGCCGCCAAAACAGACTATTGAAGGGTCACGGACGTTTGGCAATTTTATTCTCTAAGTTAACTGAACACTTTTCTTATTGCCCAATTAACTCCAACATTACAAACAATTCTTATAAGCCAGATGATCTGATTCTTTGATGTTCAGGGAGTGAAATGGGAGATCAGACTTCTAGAGACAGATATATACTAATGGCATTATGAAGTGAGAACCAGGCTTAAGAAATAAAACACATAGTTGTCCAGACAGGCCCATTTAGTGAAGGGACAAATTGCTATAAATATGTCAAGAGTTGACCGGGTGTGGTGGCTCACAGCTGTAATCCCAGCACTTTGGGAGGCCGGGGCAGGTAGATCACAAGATCAGGAGTTCAAGAGCAGCCTGGCCAACATGGGGAAACCCTGTCTCTACTTAAAATACAAAACTTCGCCAGGTGTGGTGGTGGTTGCCTGTAATCTCAGCTACTAGGGAGGCTGAGGCAGGAGAATTGCTTCACCTGGGGAGGCGGAAGTTGCAGTGAGCCAACATCGTGCAACTGCATTCAAGCCTAGGCAACAGAGCAAGACTCTATCTCGGAAAAAAAATAAGTCAAGAACTACATTTATACTGTTTTTTCCTAACCTTCAAGCCGTATATGTTAGTCCAATTACTAGATAGGGTGGAAAGACTTTTAAATGGGTAATATCATAGATGTAAAAGAGAAAGAATGAATTTTTTCTGCCTTCCCTCTTCTCAATAGTATAATTTATATCATCTGTGTTCTCTTTGTTTTATAACCTCTGCTGTACAATATGTTGTTAAGAAGTCATTGAACTATGGCCGGATGCGCCGGCTCACACCTGTAATCCCAGCACTTTGGGAGGCCGAGGCGGGCAGATCATGAGGTCAGGAGTTTAAGACCAGACTGGCCAACATGATGAAACCCCATCTCTACTAAAAAGTACAAAAATTAGGCCGGGTGTGGTGGCTCAAGCCTGTAATCCCAGCACTTTGGGAGGCCGAGGCGAGTGGATCACGAGGTCAAGAGATCGAGACCATCCTGGTCAACATGGTGAAACCCCGTCTCTACTAAAAATATAAAAAATTAGCTGGGCATGGTGGTGCGTGCCTGTAATCCCAGCTACTCAGGAGGCTGAGGCAGGAGAATTGCCTGAACCCAGGAGGCGGAGGTTGTGGTGAGCCGAGATCGCGCCTTTGCACTCCAGCCTGGGTAACAAGAGTGAAACTCCATCTCAAAAAAAAAAAGTACAAAAATTATCTGGGCATGGTGGCTTGTGCCTGTAATTCCAGCTACTTGGGAGGCTGAGGTAGGAGAATTGCTTGAACTAGGACCCAGGAGGTGGAGGTTGCAGTGAGCCGAGGTCTTGCCACTGCACTCCAGCCTGAGCTACAGAGCGAGACTCCATCTAAAAAAAAAAAAAAAAAAAAAAAAAAATCATTGAATTATGAGGATGGAAGGGACCCTGAGGTAATACTGGCACCAATTCCTTCCCCAAACCTACCTATCTTAGATTTGCCACGTATCACAGTTGCTTCTCAGCCCTTCCAAAGTTGATCTTTGCATAGTCGCTACTACAGCAGTTCACAAGACTGCCTACTGGGATATTATTCTCTTTATGTGTAAGTAAGAGACTCCAGGGTTAATTTAAGATTCCCACTGAGGGGAATTTATTTTTTACCTTCTGTGAGGATAGAATATCCAGCTACCACATTCCTTTTCTTAGCTTAATAATATTCTCATCAAAGTTTCTGATTATTAATAATCTTAACACCCTCTTCTGGCCATTCCCTTTTCATAGTGGCCCACTTGGGTTGTCAGCCATAGCTCAACTATTGCAGAGGCCTCCTGAGTTGTTCCTCCTGTTTAGCCCATGCTCCTGGTTGATGTTGCTCAAGCATGTTTATCTGATTCCTTGACTGACCTTAGGAATTTCCCTTTTTTTCTCACTGTGTTTCTTCTGTTATGTTTGCCTCTGGAATTACAAAGTACCATTTCATTTTCATGAGAAATTAATGGATTTTTCTTAGTTTTTTATGCATAAATTTATTTCCTGTATCTGATACATAGTAAGCATTCAGTAATTCTTCTTTTTAACTTTGCGTTGCAGGGAGAGAACATTTCAGGTTTAATCTTGAAGCAAATTTTAAGTATACAATATGATATTATTAACTATAGCTTCCTGGTATACATTAGATATCTAGATCTTATTTATCCTGCATAGGTAAAACTGTATACCCTTTAACCAACATCTCCCCATTGCTCTCCCTCAGCCCCCACTACCACGACCATTCTGTCTATGCTCTGCTTCTATGAATTCGGCCTTTTTAGACTCCATATATAAGTGAGATCATGCAGTAATTTTCTTTCTGTGTCTGGCCTATTTCACTTAACATGATATTCTCCAAGTTCATCCATCTTGTTGCAAATGACAGGATTTCCTTCTTCTTTAAGGCTAAATAACATTCCGTTGTATGTGTCTGTGTGTATAAGCCATAATTTCTTTACACTTTGATTTCTTGATAGATACTTAGGTTGTTACTGTATCTTGGTTATTGTGAATAATGCTTTGGTGAACACGGGCATTTCTCTAATTTTTAAGGTTGTTTTTGAGTGTTGCTTCTTACCTGCCCATGTTTTACTGGAAATCTTTATTCCTATATTCCTGAAACCAGCCACCAATTGTTAAGACTGGAGTTAATATTGGTTTAGAATTTAAAGGAATGTACAAAATATCTAAAGGGAACTATTTCAGTAATATGTATTTTATCTAGGTTCAGAGTTTTAGTTGGCCATTCTAGATTTAATTCAGTTAAGTGTGAAGTCTTCTCATAAAGCACCTAATACTGCACTTAGGGTTCAAGGTCTAGGTAGTATGGTATAGGGTTATAAGAGACTTACCTTCTCTTTGAGGCAAGCTTTAATACATGAAAATGTTAGGACATTGTTTCAGCAATAAATGATGAATGTTCTCTTAATCACTGCTGAAATTCTGGAATTCTAGAGGAGCAGAGACTGGTATAAACTTGAGGAAGCTTTGTGAACAGGTGAAACTTGGAATGTGATCCTAAACTGTGGTTAATGTATCAGTCATGTTTTGCTGAGTGATAAGAGAGTTCATGGCTTTAGCAACGATCAAATATTCACCACAATTCTATTCAGTATAGTCACAGAATCTTGTTTTTTAATAAAGTTAATATAGCGTTGGGTACAGTGGCTCATGCCTGTAATCTCAGCACTTTGGGAGCCCAAGGTGGGCAGATTACTTGAGCCTAGGAATTTGAGACCAGCCTGGGCAGTATAGTGAAACCTCATCTTTGCAAAAAGGAAAAAAAAAAAAAATTAGCTGGGTATGGTGGTACATGCCTGTAGTCCCAGCTACTCAGGAGGTTGAGGTGAGAGGATTGCTTGAACTTGGCAAGCCAAGGTTGCAGTGGGCTAAGTTCACACCACTGTACTCTAGTCTGGGCAACAGACAGCAACCCTGTCTCCAAAAAAAGAAAAGTTAATATTTATTAGTTTTATCTAATTATATAACAATTACATGAAAATAACTGCATGAAATAACTACATGAAAATAAGCTTACCATACTGTTAATATTTTTGGTATACTCTTTTAGTCATATATGTAATTATAATTGTTTATATTTATTTAAACCAAAATGGAAATCCTCATGTATTGCAGTTTTATAACTGTTTGCACTTATATAACACATGTCTTCATTTTATTAAGTGTTCCACTGAAATTCTTATGGCTTTCTCATCATTTATTTCATCTATTTCCCTACTGTTACATATTTAGGTTGTTTCAAAATTTTGTTATTATAAAATCTGGAAAAATGTCTTTGTATGTAAATCTTTAAACACATCTCTTATTTCATTTACTTAAATTATTAGAAGTGGGTCGGTTTGGAATAAACATAGTAAG